AGGAGGGTCTGGGCGGGATCCGGGCCGGTGCCGCGGAACGCCAGGGATTCCTTTTTTTAGCCAGCCGTAACGCACTTCGTGGTCTTCGAGTTCCCAGAACTCCATTCCTGGGCATGATTTTGAATCCCCGGAGCCAGCCGTAGGCCACTTCGTGTTCTTCGAGTTCCCAGAATTCCATTCCTGGGCATGATTTTGAATGCCCGGAGCCAATCGTAGGCCACTTCGTGGTCTTCGAGTTCCCAAAACTCCATTCCTGGGCATGATTTTGAATGCCCGGAGCTAACTGTAGGCCACTTCGTGGTCTTCGAGTTCCTAGAACTGCATTCCTGGGCATGATTTTGAAAATGTCCAGGGTTGATGGTGTCCCCCCCCCGGGGAGCCAACTGATAGGCCACGATTCGTTCCCTTCGAGTCCCCAAATTCCATTCCGAGCCACATTTTGAATGCTGAGGCAGGCTGAGGCTGAGGCTGAGGCTGATGCAGGCTGAGGCTGAGGCAGGCTGAGGCTGAGGCCGAGGCTGAAGGCAGACTGAGGCTGAGGCTGAAGCAGGCTGAGGCTGAGGCTGAGTCAGGCTGAGGCTGAGGCTGAGGCAGGCTGATGCTGAGGCAGGCTGAGGCTGAGGCTGAGGCTGATGCAGGCTGAGGCAGAGGCAGGCTGAGGCAGAGGCCGAGGCTGAAGGCAGACTGAGGCTGAGGCTGAAGCAGGCTGAGGCTGAGGCTGAGGCAGGCTGAGGCTGAGGCTGAGGCAGGCTGATGCTGATGCAGGCTGAGGCTGAGGCTGAGGCTGAGGCTGAGGCTGATGCAGGCTGAGGCTGAGGCAGGCTGAGGCTGAGGCCGAGGCCGACGGCAGACTGAGGCCGAGGCTGAAGCAGGCTGAGGCTGAGGCAGAGGCAGGCTGAGGCTGAGGCTGAGGCAGGCTGATGCTGAGGCAGGCTGAGGCTGAGGCTGAGGCTGAGGCAGGGTGAGGCTGAGGCAGGCTGAGGCTGAGGCCGAGGCTGAAGGCAGACTGAGGCTGAGGCTGAAGCAGGCTGAGGCTGAGGCTGAGGCAGGCTGAGGCTGAGGCTGAGGCAGGCTGAGGCTGAGGCAGGCTGAGGCTGAGGCTGAGGCTGAGGCAAGCTGAGGCTGAGGCAGGCTGATGCTGAGGCCGAGGCTGCAGGCAGACTGAGGCTGAGGCTGAAGCAGGCTGAGGCTCAGGCTGAGGCAGGTCGAGGCTGAGGCTGAGGCTGAGGCAGGCTGATGCTGAGGCAGGCTGAGGCTGAGGCTGAGGCTGAGGCAGGCTGAGGCTGAGGCCGAGGCTGCAAGGCAGACTTGAGCTGGAGCTGAAAGCAGGTGAGGCTGAGAGCTGAGTGCAGACCCCCCTGAGCTGACAGGCTGAAGCAGGCTGATGCTGATGCAGGCTGGAGGCTGAGACTGTGAGGCTGAGCTGAGGCTGAGGCAGGCTGAGTGAGCAGGCTGAGGCTGAGGCCCCCCCCCCGGAGGCCGACGGCAGACTGAGGCCGAGGCTGAAGCAGGCTGAGGCTGAGGCAGAGGCAGGCTGAGGCTGAGGCTGAGGCAGGCTGATGCTGAGGCAGGCTGAGGCTGAGGCTGAGGCTGAGGCAGGGTGAGGCTGAGGCAGGCTGAGGCTGAGGCCGAGGCTGAAGGCAGACTGAGGCTGAGGCTGAAGCAGGCTGAGGCTGAGGCTGAGGCAGGCTGAGGCTGAGGCTGAGGCAGGCTGAGGCTGAGGCAGGCTGAGGCTGAGGCTGAGGCTGAGGCAAGCTGAGGCTGAGGCAGAGGCTGAGGCTGAGGCTGAGGCTGAGGCTGAGGCTGAGGCTGAGGCAGGCTGAGGCTGAGGCTGAGGCTGAAGCAGGCTGAGGCTGAGGCTGAGGCAGGCTGAGGCTGAGGCTGAGGCAGGCTGATGCTGAGGCAGGCTGAGGCTGAGGCTGAGGCTGATGCAGGCTGAGGCTGAGGCTGAGGCCGAGGCTGAAGGCAGACTGAGGCTGAGGCTGAAGCAGGCTGAGGCTGAGGCTGAGGCAGGCTGAGGCTGAGGCTGAGGCAGGCTGATGCTGAGGCAGGCTGAGGCTGAGGCTGAGGCTGATGCAGGCTGAGGCTGAGGCAGGCTGAGGCTGAGGCCGAGGCTGAAGGCAGACTGAGGCTGAGGCTGAAGCAGGCTGAGGCTGAGGCTGAGGCAGGCTGAGGCTGAGGCAGGCTGAGGCTGAGGCTGAGGCAGGCTGAGGCTGAGGCTGTGACTGCGACTGCCGTTGCCACTGCGACTGTCATCGCGAATGCGACTACGACTGCGAGAACAGCAGAATTCTACATCTGGATTCTCATCTGAATCTTAAGGGGAATGCTTCCAGATATGCTCCTACACATCGCTGTTAGGTTGCTTTGCCGGGATAATCATGTCTGACGAATGATTATTGTTGTCCCCCCCTGCCTGTTGTGTTCTGCAATGTGTTTCCTGCTCCTGGCCCCCCTCCTGCTAATCCCGTGCTCCGTCCTTCTCCCTGTCCCTTGTCCCTTCCTTCCATCCGTCCTCTCTTCCTCTACCTTAGTGGGGGCTGCACGAAATACACGTTGCAGGTAAGAAAGATTCATACCCCCATAGGGGTACAATCGAAGACGACGAGGGCGGGTATCGAGGCTTTGGTATATACGTGTTGAATGGCCCGCGAGCAGATAAGAGCGAACATTCTTACATTGTTGTTGTTGTTGTTGTTGTTGTTGTTGTTGTTGTTGTTGTTGTTGTTGTTGTTGTTGTTGTTGCTGCTTATGCTGCTTATGTTGCTTCTGTTGTAGTTGTTGTTGTTGTTGTTGTTGTTGTTGTTGTTGTCGTTATTGTTATGGTTGTTTTTTTTGTTCCTGCTGCTGCTGTTGTTGCTGCTGCTGTTGTTTTCATTATTTAATCGCTTCGCTCATTCCGCCAGCCCTGCAGCCCTCTTTAGGGCCTCTTGGGGGCCTCTTGGGGACCTCTTGGGAGTCTCTTGGGGCTCCTTGGCGGCGTCTTGGGGGCCCGCAGGGCCTCTTGGGGGGTTTTTGGGGGCCTCTTGGGGCGGGAGGGGGGTAGTCGATTGCGGCTCCCCCCTCGGAGGCCACGATCCTCGTGAGGGGTGTCGACAACTGGCCCTCCCCTGGAGTGCTCTGGTGGCTTCTGCCGGGACCTTGCTGGGGTACTTTTCGTCCGGGGGCCACCAGGGGCCACTCCGCGCGCGCGCGAAGTCGAAATATTGTTAACCAGTTACTAATGATCTTAGCACGCCTCTGGCCCGTTGGGCCGGCGAACTTTTATTGTTGCTGTTGTTGATTATGCCGGCGATGATGATCATGTTAATGATGATGCTGGTGATGCGGATGATGGTGGCGATGATGATTGTGAACATGACGATGATGCTGATGCTGATGATGTTGATTTTCATGATGATGACGATGATGGTGATGATGCTGCTGCTGCTGATGATGATGCCGATTTTGATGGTGATGAGCAGGATACACATGATACATATGATGATAATGGTGATGCTGCTGATGATGATGATCATGACGGTGATGATGGTGATGAGGATGATGATGCTGATCATGATGACGATGAAAATTATAAGCATAATGCTGATGAGGGTGATGATGATGACGATGATGAGGATGGTGGTGATTCTGATTCTGATTATGATGATGCTGCTGCTGATGATGACATTGATGATGATGACGACGATGAGTCGCAGCAGTTCTGTTTGTAGTATGTCGTATGACATCAGGGAAGTCAGAACGATGATGATGATGATGATTCTGATGATGATGATTATGATGATGATGATGAGGATGAGGATGAGGATGAGGTTGATGATGATGCTGATGATGATGCTTATGCTGATGGTGCTGCTGCTGATGCTGATGCTGATGCTGATGCTGCTGCCGATGATGATGATGATGATGATGATGATGATGATGATGCTGATGGTGATGATGGTGATGATGATGATGAGATGAAAATGAGGATGAGCATGATGATGCTGCTGATGATGATGATGATGATTATGCCGATGGTGCTGCTGCTGATGCTGCTGCTGATGATGATGATGCTGATGGTGATGATGATGGTGATGATGATGCTACTGATGCTGCTGATGATGATGATGACGACGACGACGATGATGATGATGATGATGATGATGATGATGATGATGATGATGATGATGATGATGATGATGATGATGATGATGATGATGATGATGATGATGATGATGATGATGATGATGATGATGATGATGATGATAATGATGGTGATGCTGCTGCTGTTGTTGATGATGATGATGCTGCTGATGATGATGCTGTTGATGTTGTTGATGATGATGATGATGATGATGATGATGATGATGATGATGATGATGATGATGATGATGATGATGATGATGATGATGATGATGATGCAGCTGCTGATGCTGATGCTGATGCTGATGCTGCTGCTGCTGATGATGATGATGAGGAGGAGGAGGAGGAAGAACAAGAGGAGGAGGAGGATGAGGAGGAAGATGAGGAGGAGGAGGAGGAGGAGGGAAAGGAGAAGGAGAAGGAGGAGGAGAGCGTGGCTTGAGAAGTGTCGAGGACGAGGTGGAACAGGCGGAGCACGATGAGGACAATATGCAGGAGTTCAGCTCAGTTCATCCCTCCGCAAAGAAGGCGCGGTATTCTTTCTGCTAGCTTCGCAGTGAACAGGAGGAGGAGTAAGCAGGAGGAGGAGGAGGAGGAGCAGGAGCAGGAGGAGGAGGAGGAGGAGGAGGAGGAGGACGAGGAGGAGGAGGAGGAGGAGCAGGAGGAGGAGCACGAGGAGGAGCAGGAGCAAGAGGAGGAGGAGGAGCAGGAGCAGGAGGAGGAGGAGGAGGAGGAGGAGGACGAGGAGGAGGAGGAGGAGGAGCAGGAGCAGGAGGAGGAAGAGGAGGAGGAGGAGGAGGAGGAGGAGGAAGAGGAGGAGGAGGAGGAAGAGGAGGAGGAGGAGGATGGGGAGAAAAGAAAGGAGCACGGGGCAGGCCGCCGCCGGAATACCCGGAGCCGGGCGAGCCGGTGGCGGGCGCCGACTTCGCGCCCCCCCTGAACCCGTTCAACGACCCAGGATTTGCCGGCGGGCGGATCCACGGCTCGCCGCCGTCGCTGCCGCCGATATCACCGGCGTCCTCGTCGGCGTCGGCGTCTTCGTCGGCGTTGGCGTTGGCGTCGGCGTCGCCGTCATCGTCGTCGACGTCGTCGTCGTCGTCGTCGTTGTCGTCGTCGTCGTCGTCGTCGTCGTCGTCGTCGTCGGCGCGGGATGGGGCGGCAGGGCCCCAGGGCCCGAGCCGTAGCCCTGCCGACGGTGTTTTAGGCAGATCCCCGCGAGGACGAGGGCGCCGACGCCGACGAGGACGCCGACGCCGACGCCGACGCACGCCGACGCCGACGCCGACGCCGCCGCCGACGACGACGAAAACGACGACGACTACGACGACGGGGATCCAGTCGAGGGCTTCCAGGCTCCTGTCGTGGAAACATAAACGATTGCGGAGGTCTGGGGACATTCCGGCGTCGTGAGAGAAGCGCGACGGGCGATTTGCTCCGGTTTGGGCCCTGGAGCCCTCATGGATCGATTTGGCCTGAGAAGTCCCGCATGGAGACTGGATCGAGTTCCAGTTCCGCGATTGGAGCTTCCACGATTGCGCATGTCAGGGACAGGGCGCCCCGGCTAGCCTGCCAGGCCCCCAGGGGCAGGTCTCATGGCGCCAACATCGCAGAGCGGATTTCGGTCGGAAAACGATAGGGTGGGCCCGGAGTGTCCTGGAGAATTTGGCCAGGAATGAAGACCAAATATAATCGGCACGAAATTCACTTCATTTTTCGCTCGCCGTTTCGGGCAAACATCCACGCAGAAATCCACGCAGAAATCCGCTGCAGCACGCTTGGAAGGCCGGAGCAATGGCAGGTCCAGGGTGCTGCGGCTTCCTGGCTCCCAGCAGGGATGCGTGCGCGCGCGCCGCAAACCAAAAGCCCCGTGCAGCATTCTGGCCCCTGGTGCTCTCTGCAAGGCGCCGCCGCCGCCGGCGCCCTCCTCGCAGGAGGGGCTGACGCCGAGTTCCTCGCAGCTAGGCCGTGTCTCGTCCACAGAGGCGTCGCCGCCTCCTCCTCCTCCTCCTCCTCATCCTCCTCCTCCTCCTCCTCCTCCTCCTCCTCCTCCTCCTCCTCCTCTTACTCGCAGTTGTGCGGGCGCCGCCTCCCTTTTTTTGCGTCCTCCACGCGCCGCTTCGGCCCTCCGCTTCTGCAGGAGGCGCACGCGCCCTGCCCGCCCCCCCCCCCCGCCCCGCCCAGACCCACTTGCGCGCCGTGAAGCAACATTCAAGTCGGGCGTGTCCCTCTACAGGGGGGATCTTCAAAAATAGCTTAAAAAAAGTATGGGGACGATCTTTCGACTTTTTTTGGTATTTATGGAATGTTGTTAATTTTTCGCCCAAAGTCCCCCTGTAGGAGGACAGGCCTGACTTGAAACAACATCAAGACGGGAGGTCTTTCGCCACTCTCGGCCTTCAGGGGCCATTGCCTCGGCGGCGCGGGCGCGCCGCCGCCGCCGCCATCGCCGTCGCCCTCGCCGCCCGCAGCCGTCGCCATCGCCGCCGCCGTCGCCGCTGCCGCTATCGCCGCCGCCGTCGCCGCCATCCTCGCCGCTGTCGTCCCAGACCCTCGACGTCAAGACTCAGGATGAAACACTGGTCCCGAGGAAAGGGGTCCAGACCTCTGAGGGTCCACGCTGTGAAAGAGAGCACGGCGTCAGGGGTCTGGGCCTGTGCGCGCACACCCGCGCTGGCTCCTCCCCCGAGCCCTGGACCCTAGCTTTCTGCGTCATGCTTCGGGCCGTCGATCTGTGAGGGCCCCGGGGCCCGAGATGCTGCGCTGCCGCCCAGCTCGAAGAAGCTGCGACGCCAGAGTCTCAGGGTCCACCCAGCCTCGGGCCCGAGCCCTCTTCTCCGCGGAGCCCCAGGGGGCCCTCTCCGGGAGCCGCGCCGAGCCTGGTGGCCGTGAGTGTTGAACAGGCTCGTGACGGATCGTGGGCGCGCCAATTTCCCCGCCCAGCCCCGACGCCGCTGCCGCAGGGCCTTCCCACTCGCTCTCTCCTCCACGAGACTCGAGGCCGCTTGTTTCGTAGGCTCCGACCGTAACCCGGGTCATAAGGCTCGCCAGCGCCCCCCCCCACAGATAATCTGATCTTGTCGGTTGCGCAGGACCGAAGGGGCTACGCAGTAGTGGTGCCCAGTGGCATACGTGGGGCTGCCCGAAGCGAAAAGGTTCGGTTATCGGCCAGCCCCCCCCTCCCCACCAGACAACCCAGGCTTGCGCCGCAACAACAACGGTCTTCTCCATCAGCATATTTCTCAGGTCAATATCCTGCCTGACCCGCCGACTGGCAGCATCATCGTCTGCCCTGCCTCAGCTCACGCTTGCTTGCCTCTTCCTTCGTTGCTGCGGCGGCCCTGTCTTCCGCAGACCCCCGACGCTGTGTTTTTTCCCAACCATCCTGTGGTGTTGGGTCCTCGTTTTGAAGAGACGGTGCCCCGCGTTCCTCCTTCCTTCCTTCCTTCCTTCCTTCTTTCCTTCCTTCCTTCCTTCCTTCCTTCCTTCCTTCCTTCCTTCCTTCCTTCCTTCCTTCCTTCCTTCCCCTCCTCCCTGCTCCCCCTCCTTGCCTCTGCTCTCGGCACACCTCTCACACGTTTCGTAGCCCCATAGGGAGCTCCACCGAAGGCCCCAGTGGGGGTGGGTGGGTGCATGCGGTTCCCCCACCCAGGGCAGCGTTTCGTGGCCCCATGGGGAGCTCCACCGAAGGCCCCAGTGGGGGTCGGCGCATGCGGTTCCCCCACCCAGGGCAGCGTTCCGTGGCCCCACAGGGAGCTCCACCGAAGGCCCCAGTGGGGGTGGGCGCATGCGTCTGCCCTGTCCAGGACAGCGCTTCGTGGCCCCATGGGGAGCTCCACCGAAGGCCTCAATCGGAGTGTTCGCATGCGTCTCTCCCGCCCAGGACAGCGCTTCGTGGCCCCATAGGGGGCTCCACCGAAGGCGCCAGAGGCGCAGTTCGCATGCGTCTCCCCCACCCATGACAGCGCTTCGTGGCCCCATAGGGAGCTCCAGAGAAGGTCCCAATGGCGCAGTTCGCATGCGTCTCCCTCGCCCAGGGCGGCGTTTCGTGGCCCCATATGGAGCTACACCGAAGGCCCCAGTGGCGGTGTCCACATGCGTCCGCGCCACCAATTTCGGCGCACCCCTCACAAGTTTCGTGGCCCCATAGGAGCTCCACCGAAACTGGTACCCACAATGCGGTACTCGCAACTGCACATGGTTGGGTCCTTCGTCAGGCTAATTTCATGACGTGGACCCCCAGAGGTCTGGACCTCTTCCCGGCGACCGGCTTTTCATCCTCAGTCATTTTTTGAAGGTCCCGATGCCTGGTAAGTGCCCTGGGAGGCCGCAAAACGCAAACAACTTGCCGTCGTGTGTTTTTTCATGACGCGAAGGGATGTGGGCCTGAGGGAGCCGGGGCGTGACGTCAACCCGCGTCCAAAACACATAGGTGCATATGTATGACAAAAAGCATAGATGTGTATGCATATCTAGATGTAGGTATGCATGCATGTTTGTATGCATGAGTGTCTATGTATCTGTATGCATGCATGCATAAAGCATGCATGCATGTATGCAGGTATGTTTGTAAGTACGCATCTATGCATTAACACATGTTTGTGTGCATGTGTGTATGCTTGTATGTTTCTTTGCGTACATGCTTGTATGCCTGCATGTATGCATGTCTGTCGGTCCGTCTGTCTGTCCGTCTGTCTGTCTGCCTGTCTGCATGCAGGCATGTGTGTATGGTATGCATGTATGCATGCATGTATGCATGCATGCACGCATGGATGCATGTATGTATGCATGCATGCATGCATGCATGCATGCATGCATGTATGTATGTATGCATGTATGCATGCATGCATGCATGCATGCATGTATGTATGTATGTATGTATGTATGTATGTATGTGTGTATGTAGGGAGGTAGGGATGTGTGTAGGTATGTATGTATGCATGCATGCATGCATGCATGCATGCACGTATACATGTATGCATGCATGCACGTTTGTATGTAGGTACGCATGTATGTATATATATATATATGCATGCATGTCTGTCTGTCTGTCTGTCTGTCTGTCTGTCTGTCTGTCTTTCTGTCTGCTGTCTGTGTGCCAGTCTGTCTGTCTGTCTGCCTGTACGCATGTATGTGTGTGTGTGTATGTGTACGTATGGGTGCAGGTATGTGTAGGCACGCCCGTTCAATATGTGCACCCATACATGCGGATGCACATCTGCATCTCCACATACATGCACATATATATATATATATGTATACATATGTATAATATGTATACATATGTATACATATATATATAGATACACGTACAGACGCGTATACACATAGACGAAGGCAATCACACATGCACGTAACACACACATATTCATACATACGTCTAAGTCTGCTTAGGCGCCCCTCCTTATCCAGGAACCGCGCCGAACCCGCTGGGCGCACCGGCGTCGCAGGCGCTCGGGCGGGCGCGGGGGGCGGGCCGTGTCGGGCGGTGGCCGGTCGGCGGCCCGAGGCCGCGGCATTGGCGAGCGGACTGCCGCCGGCGTGCTGGGTGCAGGGGCCCTCCGTCGGAGGCCCCTCTCCCCCTCGCGTTGTAAAAAATCCCTCCCTCCTTCTCCTCCTCCTCCTCCTCCTCCTCTTCCTCCTCCTCCTCCTCCACCTGCTCCTCGCGTTGGGTTCGGTATCGTTTAACCGATCCCCATCCCCATCTCCATCCCCTTCGAGACCCCCACCAAATTACCACCCCAGTTGGGGATACGCCCCTCGAAACCCGAAGAGAGCGGCCTATATCCCCATCTAGGGGGGTAAATCGGCCAGCGGGGCCCAGGCCACGCCGCTGGGCTCAGTCGTGAAAAAATTACGGCGGGAGGTTTTTCCCCACTTAGGCTTGCCTAAGCGGTTCTCACTTGGTTGAATTATTGGTGTCTCGGGGCCCTACCTGTGCCCGTTTCCCGGATATTCCTT